GGCACTCTTGCCGCAGCTTCACCGTAGCTTCCTCAGTGGTATTTCCGTAACCGCTCATGTTCTGAAGGGAGAAGAAAAGTTTAGTGAAAGGTGTTAAGTACAAGAGACAGGAGGAAAGGCCGAGATTAACTGGGGAGGTGACCCCAAACTTGAGCCAATGGCCTGGAAACTAGCGGGCAGACATCTCCAAGCTGTGTTGCCCCAGGGTCTTCCAGAACCCTCCCCAAGTATAGGCTCCACCTCAGATTCTCCCTTCTGAACTCTCCCAATAATGTCCCATACACAGCACTGTTCAATGGGTCCGGCAGTCCTGTCAGGTGGGAGCACAGGCCGGGTGACTGCAGAGTGCTGCTGCCCCCGCCCACCACCACCACCTGAAAGGCACTCACTGAGCTCCTTGTAGGACAGGCAGTAGCTGAAAACCACATAGGCTGCCAACACCATGGACAGGCCAGCGACGCTCCCCTTCCTCACGTTGACGTACTTGTTATAATACCGATCGTAACCTGCAACCAGAAGAGGCTGTCACTGCCGGGTACACACAACCAGGCCAAGGCGGGAAGCAATGAAGGCTCAGAGCCCCTGGTCCTGCACTCACTGGCTGATTCTGAAAGATGCACAAATTCGCCCAGGGAGGGCCTGGAGCATCACAAATGCAGGGCCTGTACCAGACTCTGGCTGTGCCCTTTGGCCTTGGACTCTGAGGCCTTGAGCCTCCAGTCTAGGAATCCCCTCCCTCCAATTCTGATCAAGACCATCTTACCAAAAAAGTCCCTGAGGGTTTCTCTATGCGCTGGGAGCCTCAACCCATGCCAACAATCCACCCACCTCCAGGGGACACACTCCCCACCCACCCCACCCCTTCTCTGGCAGGCTCCTGGCATGAAGAGCTGAAGGTAAAGGTAAGCACAAAAAGCTATGATTTAAAAGAAAGGGATGCCAGGACAGTGCAGGGCACTGTGAGCAGACCAACCACCTTCACACCTCTACCTTAGTAGAGGAAGGAAGGGACACTACCTTAGTGTTCTTAGTGGCCACTGATAGACAAGAAACAGGTGGAGGGGGGAAAAAAAAAGACAGGCGGAGGGGGGCACTGGCACTGAAAAATCACTGCAGATCCATAGAGGAGGCCGTTAGAAATCCTAATCAAGGAAGGGGACACTGTGCTGGCAACTGTGCATCAAACTCCCTTCCCTCTTAAGGTTTTATGAGAGAAAAGGCTCAGACACATTTTTTAAAGAGGTGACAGCGGCATTGATTCAAACAACAAAAACATGGCCTTGGCTGAAATCTCTCAGGTGAGCCTGGGACAGGGCCAAACAGGATCATTCCAGGCTGACTAGCTCTCCCTGCCCATCTACCCCAAGGAAGGAGCTGAACGCCTTCCCCTCCAGGTCCTGGCTTATGACCACTTTGGAGGTCGGCTTCCACTTGCAGGCTCTGACCTCTCCGAAAGGCGCCAGCAATGCCCATCGGGGTGAAGTCCCGCATCAGCACCCAGCTGGGCAGCTCCGAGATCCTGACATCCAGGAGGCGCTTCTCCTTCAGGGGAACTGAAACAGAAAGAGAAGACAAAGTGATGGAAACGCTCTGAGCACCAAAATGGACCCTGCCCCCTTGGACTTGTTATTGTGAATCAGGCAGGTTTACAGACTAGATCAACTTCACATGCAGCAGTTCAAACACACACATATTCCAACCATTCAATGGAGACATCGACTCCATAAACTACGAATGTTCCTCCAAATCCATGGTTTCATGCTTTATTCATGAACCAGATGTTTCCATGACAGGCTGCAGGAAATTATGTAAAAGGTGAGCCCCAGGTTCTGAGGGAGGGAAGTACTGAAGCGAAGGGCATAGATTACTTCAACTGCAGCGTCTGCGTATAGGAGGCAGCTTCAAAATAGTCTTGAAAAATGGAACCAGAAGATAATGGAATTTTCCCACGAACTTACAACGACTTTATTTGATTTATCAGGAGGGAAGGACACATCGAGATGTTGGGCAACTAGGCTGAGGTCACACAGCACACAGACAGCGGAGACAGGACTCACAGCTCCCCTGCAGGAGAGTCGACTGCCCCTGTGGTTTCTGAGGCTGTAAATCAAATCATTATGGGAGTAGAAAGCCTTATCCTTATCTTTCTCCTGGTGGATTCAAACTGCTGACCTTGTGGTTAGCAGTCCAATGAGAAATCCACTATCTCCGCCCTGCCCCCCCCCCCCAACTATCCTCAGCCAAAGATAAAGATTAATCATGTATTTGCATTTTAGAAATGCTTGGGCATTCTTTTTTCTCATGATCAGTTTAAACATTCTTTCTAGTGTTGTGTGCCTGCTCAATGCACCCGACACTTAGCCACCCCTGTGTATCAGTGGAGGCTCGCCTGCTGCTATGATTCTGAACATATTTCAGTAGAGCTTCCAGATCACAAGAGACTAGAAAGACGTGAAAAACCCATGAAATTACTGAATATAAACTGATGATCTCACCTGTAAACCTTCACCCAGTTCACAATAAAAAGTTAACAATTAACAATAACAAACTTTATGGATCATAAAGATAAACAACCATAGGAAGAACCAGACTAAATCACACCAAGGTTTCCTCTCTGGAGGTCGAAAGAGAGGCTACAGTACCTTTAGGACCAGCCTCAAGAGTCCATCAAGAGGACTTCCACAGGTCTCCCGATGCCTGAGACCCTCACCCATGGCCAAGGCTTTCAGGCCTACTGTACAACCAGAAATCAGGGTCTCAACTTCCTGCCTATTGGCTGTCAACAAGCCATGACAGGTGAAGGCACAGATAGATGGCTAACACGCATGCAGGCCTGAAACTTCCATCTGGCCTCATCCAACAAATACAAGGCTTAAAAAAGCTCGTGAAAAAATGAAATGAAAAGATAATGGAAGTTTTCCATGAACTTTTTGAAGGCCTTCATACTGGGGGAGCTGCTGACTGCTAACTGAAGGGCAATCAGTGTTCAAATCCACCAGAGGCTCCACAGAAGACCCACAATCTGCTCCCATACAGGAGAATGCTTAGGAAAAACCCTATGGAGCAGTTTGACTCTGTCACCGGAGGTCACCGCAAGTAGAAATCCACGGGGCAGGCGTTTAACAACAAGGGTATGTAGGCAAATGCTCTCTTTTCACATGCCATCTCCTCTCAACAGTAAAACAGCCCATTGTACAGAGCAGAAAACAGCTTCTCATCCTGGTCTGAACCCTGCTTCACTTCTCCAGCCCGAGATGAAGACTATGGAGTCTGAAGAGAGAGAGAGACAGACAGACACACACACACACGGTGATCAAAACTGCAGGGTGATCGCTGGTGGTTCTTCTCATCTTCCAAGTATGATCAACACTCCTCCTGCCACCCACTGCAGGATGAAGCTACAGCATGCGTGGATCAATGGCTACAGCAACGATCAGTGGCTACAACATGGTTTCCGTTATCCAGAAAGTAAAAGTACACGCCCAGTGAGGGTCGAGATGTACACACGAGAGTCCCTGAAAAGCCAGCCTGTGGATAAAGCCTCAGTCTACCACACGGCCCCTGATAACTCACTACCATTGAGTTGATTCAGACTCTCAGCAACCCTACTGGAGAGAGCAGAATTGCCCCTGTGGGTTTCTGAGGCGGCCCGCCTTAGCGGGCGGAGGAAGCCTCCTCTTTCTCCCTCCAAGCTGCTGCTGGCCTGCTCCTTCCAGGGGCTACTATCTATTCTTCCTTCCAGCCCCGTCCACTCATGGGAGGTGGCCCGCCCAAGGTCACTTCGTTCCTTTAAGCCCTCTCAACACAAGCAATGCGTACGCACCGGGCCTTACTGGTGGGAGGCACAACCTCGATGATTAGCTACTTTGGATCATGGTGGTGCTGAGGGGTAAGCACTGGGCTGCTAACTGCAAGGTCGGTGGCTTAAATTCAGTTCCCACGAGAAAGATGAGGCTATCTCTGTTCCCATAAAGATTTGCGGTCTCAGAAACTCGAATGGCGTCGCTATGCGCCAGAAACGACTAGATAGATGGCAGTGGGTTGGGTTTGGTAACAATGTGACCTTTCGCTTTGGGGAGGGCAGCAGCTTGCCCGCAGGGGGCCAAGGCAAAGCGCGCGGAGGGAAACCTGGAAGCTCTTCCTTCGGAGCGAGAAGAGCCAGGCCCGAGGCGGCGCGTTCCCAGGCCTGCAGCTCTCCGCCCAGCTGCCCTCCGCTCGGCGGGCGGCCCGGAGCCCCAGGCTAAGGCCGGCCGCACCTCGGAGGGACCGCGAACAGGACCCTGCGCGAAAGGCAGGCGGCTCGCAGCTCCTTCGATTCCGTCCCCTCCCAGTACGCACGCGGATCTCGCACCCTGGTTCCAGCCTCCTACGCGGTGGCCAAATAGCCCCAGCAGAGGACTCACCGGGAGACGCCATCTTTGAGTCCTGGGTGTCCGCTGCGCTGGGCCGTGCGGGTGCTGCTGGGTAGGTAGCAAGAGCGCCTGCGCGCTGGGGAGCAGAGGCTCACGGGAAGCAGGTCACAGCTGGAACGAGGCTGGGCGGGCCAGAGCGCCATGGAGTGAAGGGCGAACACCTGAAGGGCAAAGTACTATAGTAGTACATGATTTCTGAGTGGTGGACTTTCTTCAGGACTCCTCTTCCCAGGAGGAAGGAAGAGGGCGGTAGAAAGGAAGCTAAAGAAAAGTGACACAAGGGAGAAGGCATCCTGGCGTTCTTAACCTATTCAGTTCAATTTGTTGTGCTGATTACAAGGGCTGAGAGAAGACCCTTGCTCCCGCATGCTCCAACTCGTGGAATCCCAGGAACGAGGAAGAGCAGGTGTCCACGACTGGACACCAAATATGTCTAATTCAAGAGCTCCAGTATGTGCCCAGACGCTCTGAGGACTTAAGGAAACAAGACCCTCGTGGGACAAAGCACGAGGGTCTTCTGTCACTTCTCTGGGCACAGTGATGCCTCACCACCATCTTGGTTTTTGGAAAAGCCACGATCTGGTGTAGATGACCAAAGACTTGGGTCACTGGAGGCCATACCTGCTTCGGCCATCCTGACCTGAACAAGAGCTTCAATCCTCTGACTCCTAGTTTCCACCACTGGAAAACAGGGGTGTAATGCTTAACCCACATCATTGTGATAGGAATTAAATAAAACTATGTATGTGAACATAACAAATAACATCAGGTGAAGAGCTGAGCGGCTATTTTGAATTGGACCACAACCACAGGCAATCATGAGGACTTATTACAATAGAAGTTCTCAGAAAATTAAAGACCATACTTGTGAGAAAAAGGCCAAGAAAGTTGCATTGAGGATTTTTTTTTTCCAGGCAGAACTGACTTGCTGTTTCTCCAAGGGAAGCAAGAGCAGCCCTGTGAGAACTGCACTGGTAAACCTTCCCCATCCACCTTCCAGCCCTGGTCTTGCCCCTTGAGACTTCGTTTTATTCCCAAAGCTCCAAGAACATTTCAAAGGAATATGACTTGTGTCCCTGGAAGATGCCAAAGCTGCCTTTTGAAGTGGACATCAAAGAGTACAGAATTATTTGGGTATAGGATTGGAGACATTGAAATGCCACTTCAGAAGTGTATTGGTGGCGGATATGTTGAAAAAGAATAGCTTCAAATGTTTTGAGAATGATGAGGGCAACAAATGTACAAATGTGCTTGACACAATGGGTGTATGTATGGATTGTGATAAGAGTTGTATAAGCCCCCAATAAAAGGATTAAAAAAGAAAAAGAATGGTTTCACATTTTGATATTTGTGCTTAATAAAGTTTTCTATGGTTTTATAGCAATACTTATTTCTTCTCATATGTCTGAACATGATAAGTGGAGAAATACTAATAGTTCCATATGGAGGAAGAATGGCTGTGGGGTTTTGGATAGGGCATCCCAAACTGGCCTCCTGGAGTGACATGTAGCCAAAGGCCTCTATGGGTGTACACTGGCCATATGGGTGCCTGGGGTAGCATGGCAGGACAAGGAGGTATGTTGACTTGTTTGCAGAGAGGACAGAAGTGATGGAGATCAATGGTCAAACACACTTAAGGGATAGTTCCCTATACCGTGGTGATTCGCTGTGTTTGATAGGAAGGAGTAGATACTACGTTTTCTGGCTTGAGAAAACCATCCTGAGACAGGAACAACTAGACCCGCGCCAAGTAAGCATACAACAATGCCCATAGTGACTGTGGAACATGCTGTCTAAGTTGGTGGCCACCACCCACAACTGGTTATTGAATCCTTGAAATTATTTACTTTTATTTAAATAGATAGTTGGCTCGAAAGACAACACACACACGTCCACATACACGCTGCCAATGAGTCGATTTTGACTCAGCAATCCTGCAGGACAGGAAAATGTGGGGTTTCCAAGATTATAAATCTTTACAGGAGTGAAAGGCCTCATCTGTCTCTCAAAGAGTGGATTTGAACCACTGACTTTGCAGTTTTTAGTGACTACCATATTTTACAGCACAGAACTAGGGGCATAAATAATAATCGTAAGTCATGAAGAAGGAAGACGAAGTCCAGGGGAGAGGTTTATGTCCTATGGAATTGAGGGCCTTCCAGGAGAGCACTTGGGGATTTAGTCACAGGGACACATGCTGGACCCTTTGAAGCACTAGCAGGTGCAGGGTTGGTTAAAAACCCAAACAAATCTGGATCAGTCACCAACTCAAGTAAACAGACTGTATGTGTGTCTTGGGTGACTTTCTATGTGGTTCCTGCTCATTCTCTGTCCTCCCTCATCTCCAGCCATAGTTCTTATCCTGAAGGGTGTGTGATTCCTTTGTCTGTTCTTGAGATGTGTAGCAGGTTTAAAGTCAATGAACATGAGCGTCTTCCTCTTTTTCTCTGATGCGCTGCTTTTTCTAGCATGATATCCTTCTTCAGGGACTAGCCCTTCCTGATAGGATGTCCAAAATATGTGAGACAAAGTCTCACTATCTTTGTTTCTTTCTTTCTTTTTTAAAAATCATTTTATTGGGGGCTCAGACAACTCTTATCACAATCCATCCGTCCATCCCTTGTGTCAAGCACATTTGTACATTCGTTGCCCTCATCATTCTCAAGACATTTGCTCTCCACTGAAGCCCTTGGTATCAGCTCATTTCCCCCCTCCCTCCCCGCTCCCCCTTCCCTCTCTCTGTTTCTAAGGAGCGTTCTGCTGTACTTCTTCCAAGACAGATGTGTTCACTCGGGCAGGCTGTGCTGTCCTCCATGCCAACACCATCCTTCAAAGGCACCCGTTCTTCTTCAGTCCAGCTTTCATGTTGAAGATACCAGGGCTTGGGTCAGGCCCACCGTAGTTCTTGAAGTGATTTTTATTTTTAACACTTTAAACAGATCTCTTTCAGCACTTATTCCCAATGCTCTACGTTCTTTGGCTTCTTGACTGCTACTTCCATGGGTGTCATGTCGATTGACGATCCAAAGGAAATGAAGGAAAATGCAATCAAAACCACATGAGAGACCCCTTCATACCCACTAGGATAGCTATTAGGGGCCCTAGTGACATAGTGAGTTACATGCTGAGGTGCGAATCACAGGGTCAGCAGTTCGAACAAACCAGCCACTCCAGATAAAGACGAGGCTGACAACTCCCATAAAGATCACCCCCCCCAAAAAATTTAGTTTTAATATAAAAACATTTTACAAACAAAGGAATAAAATACATATAGGTTTATAATTGTCTTGCTGTACATTTTTTAAACATCATTTTGGGGAGCTCGTACAACTCTTATCACAATCCATACATACATCCATTGTGTCAAGCACATTTGTACATTTGTTGCCATCATCATCCTGCCCACAAAGATTTAAAGTCTCAAAAATCGAAATGGGTAGTTCTACACGGTCCTGTAGTGTTGCTGTGAGTCTAAATCCAGTTGATGGCAGTGAGAGAGGATGGCTATAATATGAAAAATGGAAAACAACCAGTGTGGGGAGAAGGGGAGAAGGTTTCCCCACAAATCATCACAGGTCTGGTCGGCACAATTGTACAGTGATAATAAGTAAAGATTATAGTAAAATCATAGAGAGCATGAAAGGTAGAGGAGAGATTGGAATAAATGGAGTCAAACACAATTCATGGTAGCATGCTCACCTCAGCCCCACTTGGTGGTCCTTGTGGGGGGAACCCGGCCACGAGAGCAGGAGCAGTCTCAGGGACTGAGAACCGGAGAGCGCTCCTGGGCCCCCGGGAGCCAGAGAGCTTCTTCTTTATTGCTAACCAACCATTATATCTCTTTAGGGGGACATGATTACAGAATCACACGTCACAGGAAGGGGTGTACAATAGGCATACACATTGTAGGAAGGGGATCTATGGTAGGCATGAGCGTAACAGGAAGGGGCTGAGCTAGGGGTGTGCCCATGGGAATGGGAAGGTCTAGGGGTACACGTGTGACAAGATGGGCAGACCCTAGATTCATGATGGCAGCCTAACCTTGGTCATCCTTGGGCGGGTTTGACTGCTCTGATGTCTCCTACAAGGAAACAGATAACTACTATCTTTATCAGAAGGGAGTGGGCCCTACTTGTGGGATAAACAGTGGTGTCTGCTTGCTCCAGATGGCTGATAGCTCTTAGGGAGAATGACCCCTAATCTACTCCTGATGACCTCCAAGTGTATAGTCATTCTCAAGCAGCTAAGTCTGGCATATATTTGGGGGAGACAGCTTGAGAGAAATCCTTCTGTTTCCCACAATTCCCCCTTTTGTTTTATATATAAAATTCAAAAGAGCCACAGTGGCTACATGGTTATTTTCTATACATTGAAAGCTGTCAAGGCAAAACTTCATGATCCAATTAATATAGCCAAAAATTCAGGCCTATAGCAAACATTTTGAATCCAGGCATGGAGGATAAAGACCCCCTATGCCTGTCTGCTATTGGAGGAAGGTATGAGAGGGGCTGGATGTTGCGGCGGGAAGAAAAGGAGTAAATAGGAATGTCTGCTTCTATAGGGAGAATGAATCAACCATGTGCTTACTTTAAGGCAGCACAGCTTTAGAGGGAGAAACTGTGGAAATGATAGATTACTGCAGGAAAATGTTTTTGGACCATATCTCCAACTACCAGAGTGGCGGTCTTCCAGACATGGAATACTAGTCTTCCAGATTCCCTCCTTACCAGTCAGGGAATAAGTCCCAGTTTTATTTCCCTTGGTGCTAGTATCCCACATTTCCCCTTTCTGCATTACGTTTAAGATTTAATAGTGTCACGGAGGCAACATGGTCTCTTTTCATATCTCTTAGCTTCCTATAGAAGTGACATGAGACTGCGAGCATCAAAATTATGATGATAAACAACACAGTCAGACTAGAATTTAAGCTATGTGAAATGCTTTGAGCCCAAGCTCGCGGGTCCAACCTTTCCATGCCACTCACCAATTGCTTAATCATACCAGAGCCAGGAGATGCCTCAAGCTTGTCTTTGAATGTATAGAAAATATCCTTCTTAAGCTGATCAACATCTAAT